ATTTTGTTTACGACAAACCAAATTCTTACGTAGAATCAGGAGCAAATGAACCGCCAGCATAAGGACCTTCACTTGTCGGTAATACAAAATTATTAATAACACGATCTGATGATACTTTTGTATTTGTATCAATAACAGTAAGTAAAGGATCATCACCCTACGAAATAAAAACTCATGTTTAAATCTATGACAATATATAGATTTTTACTTTTGGATAATCATATTGTGGAAATTTATCTTTATATTCACTAGCACCAGTTGGTCTTGAACGATAATGCCATCGTTCACCTGATGTTGTTGTTAATGGTTCAATTTCAGTATTTGCTACAAATCCGGAATTTTCTTTAGGACCAACTTGTCCCATAATAACTGGTTCAGTTTGTGCCGGTTTTGCAAAGTTAATACCATATGTTGTTGCTTCTTTTCCACCAATCTAAGGAAAAACAAAAAAAAAATTTGTTAATATAAGATCGAACTAATTGTTTAAAAAGTTTTGCGTTTTTACTGGAGGCACAAGTGAATTAGGAATGTGTACAGCACGTTCACGAAAAAAACCTGATGTTTGATTAGTTATATTTGGTGGTAATGATTCCGTACCGTTAGGTAATTCATAAGGTTTATAATGTATTTGATGAGATGTATCATAGTTGTCTGCACACATACGACTAAAAAAAAGAAATCAATAAAATTTTTATATCAATAATTTTGAAAACACAAAAAAGACTAAATAAAATACAGAATGTTTGATTTCAAAAAAATAATAGAATTCGATGAATAAATTTAAACACCATGATATCTAGTAATTGTCGAGCTTATCGTTTCAAGACATGTCGAAAAATACGATATTTCACACAACTAGATAAGTATGAATTAGAGATATTAGATTAATTTTGATTATAAAATAATGCTAATATTTTGGTATTATTGGTATTCGAATTGATTGATGCCAAATTGTTAGCATTATTTTTATATCTAATATATATGCTACCTATGACTACAACTCTGGAAGTTTATCTTTGACAGCTTTCGATGACAAAATAAAGATTTTTTTTGTACTCGGATGTACCATTTCCAAAAACAGTACAAAATCGTTCGGTTTTGGGAATTTCTGATCTTGTAATGTCCAACATCTAGCTGTCAATAATCGATGTATTCGAATTGAAAATAATGTTAATTTAATACACCAACAACATGATATTAATTGATATTTATTTTTAAATCATTAATATTAGTATTAATACATGCTAATGCTAATACTCATAGAACATCCCTAGTAAGAGTATGAATGTATACGCGTACTTGCCCAGTGTTGGTATTTCATTCAATGCGATAAATAAAATTAGAGAATAGGTTTTTTTGTAAATTCAGATTTTCTTCGTTTTCAATTCTTTTATACTATATATGATTGAGAGAAATGTTTAATGATTTAAATAAATCTCAAACAGAAAATCTCTATTAGTTTACTATAACTTTATGATTCATATACTAATACTAATGTTATTAAAATATAATAGTTTTAGAGAATATATCATTTTACTATGTAATAAAAATATTCAAGATAATATTTTTTTTTTCTGTTCTTGTATTACCAGAGGAGAAACTAGGAGTGTAGTCGAGAAGGTCAACAACTTCATCTTGAAAAATTTTTTTGTATTTCGTCAATTTTAGTAAACCTTTTCATCAACATCCTGAGTGTCATCATTCCTCCTCCTCCCATCATAATTCTGACGATCTCGTAATACTTCTACCAGAAACATACAAAATCGTTTTACTAAAGAAAGCAACTTTCAAAAAAATATGCATAATTTGTAAAGTCATATGAATTATCTTGCAAATTACCCTAGTATTGGATTATCAAGTTCATCAATTGTACGTGTATAAGGTAAATAATATCTTTCATTATTAACAAAACCAGATTTTTTTCGTTCATCTTTAAGTTTTTGTGTTGATAGATTTTCTGTTGTTAATGATTTATCTCCAAGTATATTTGATTTCGGTCGTACACCAGGTGGTCGATATGTACTTGAATTTTGTGTTATATAAAAATTCATTAAATAATTATTAGCTCCTTCACTTGCCAATATATGTTGATCGGGATGACCAACAGGAACATGTTGACCTGCATTTGGAGATAAATAATCCATTTGTCTACAATCGATAGATGTAAAATTACTTTATTATATCTTATAGTTACCATTGTCATTGTTAACTACTTAGCAATGACACTCATGAAATATAAATATATGTAACACATCAATGCATTAAATGACAGCTGATAAGGTACCAATAAAAAAATCTCTCTAAGATAGTGAAGAATAAATGATAACTAATCATTAAATTTTATTTATGTGATAAATTTTTTATTCTTTTTTACTTAATTTTATTGATTATGCCACCAATTATACCGACAAATGCTAATATTAGTAGTTCACATGTTTTGAGCACTATTAAACCTGCTTATAAGGTTTTAAAATCTCTTTTTATTTTTTGTATTTAATTTTAAAAAAAAAGTGATTTATTCGTATTTAGCATTTGATTAATTTACCACCAGCAGGTATTTTTTCTGATCCTATTTATCGACCATTATCAAGTATGATTTTTTTCTTTTTATTTTAATTTTTAATTATTATAATTTTTTTTTAGTAACATTTATTGAATATCAAGATGGTAAATTATAATTTAAATAATTTTTTAAAATGAGGTTCGAGTTTTTTTTTTGTCAAAAATTAAGGTGATAAATTTGGCTTTATTTTGGCATGGTTTTCAATGTTACCATTTATTTATATTGTTGCTTTATGTACATTAATTCTATTTCGACGTGATATACAAACGGTAGAAATAATTTTATTTTTCTTTCTAGTTTATTCTATATGAATTTATACAAAATAGATAATGTATTTTACTGGATTCTTTATATGTGGAATAATTAATTATTATCTTAAAATAACTTTTAAACAACAACGACCAGAAAGAAGTAAATTCTTCGAATATGATAAATTAAGAAAACTACAAAGATATATTTAAAAAAAAGCTGAATTTGATCTCTAACAAGAAAATATGCGAGATTATTATCATAATCTAAGAAAAAAAAAGAAGTTTTGATTTTTGTATAGAGTTATATTTTATTTTAGCTCGAAATCGAATGGATTATTATGAAATTCATGGTATGCCGAGTGGTCATGCTCAAAGTTTTTTCTATTTTATGACATATTTAGCTATTTTTATTATTCTTAAGTATGTCATAATTATTGCAAATAATATAATAAAAATAATATTTTTCTTTATTCATTCTATTCAAACAAAATATTAGATCACAAATTCCTGGTACACCTTATATATGTTCAATACGTCATCGTTGTTTTATTTTAGTACAATTTATTGCTGCTTTACTAGTTTCTTATAGTCGGTAAAGAAAAATTTCAATTAATTTTGAAATAATATTTAAAAAAAAAAAAACAACTATTTAGAGTTTATCTTTATTATCATACAATTGCACAAGTTGTTGTCGGTGGTTTTATTGGTACAATATTTGCTTGTATTTGGTATTATTTTATTAATTATCAATTTATAAAATATATACCATTTATAATTGATCAACCATTAGCAAAATATTTACTCATTCGTGATTATTCACCAATACCACATATTATTCATTTTCAATATGAAAGTGAATATGCCGAAGCAAAGTATACGAATATATTGTTTGCATAGAAAATGGATTACTTTTTTTTTTTTTTTTAAATAGACGATGGCGAGAAAGATATGCGAATTGGTCAAGAGATCAACTGTTAACAAATATACCATAAGCAAAGATCTAAATCTCATTTTTCTTTTTAAAGTTTATATTATTTTGTATTTTAAACGTTTTGCAATAGGAGAATATGATAAAAAAAGAAAAAAGAATCTCGTTTTTTTATCTTATAGAATAAAATGTTATGCAATATAAAAGATCGTATTTTGAAAAAAATAGATAAATTACAATTTATCGAAATCGAAATTAAAGTCTTGTATCGAATCATCCTGATAAAATTAATAAATTTATTAAAATTGATGATAGATCTATTAAATTTACTAATTTAATTCAATGTAGAATTTTGATAGAAGTTTTTTATTCATATTTTCTTACATATGACTTTTTTTTTTCTTTTAGATCGATCATGATCATTAATTTTATAATTGAAAATTATTCTTTATTTGATTATTTATGAGTTTTAAAGCAATAAACTTTTTTTTCGAAGCTTGCATAAGAGTATGTATAAGAAATTTATTAAAACAATATGAAATATTTGGTATCTCTCTTAAATTATATCTTATAATAGTCAAAGTAAATGGTGACAAAAGTTTTTATAATGCTTTTGATATAAAACTTATTGATTGTGAAAAATTAAATATTTTTTAAGGTAGATATGTTGAGTTTTTGATTTATTAACAAATAATATGTAAGTTTAGTATGAATAGAAAGAGTAATTCGTATCTTCGAATGTTAATACTATTATTTTTTTACTTTATTGTAGTATGTGTCAAATATTAAGTCAAATGTGTAGATGATATTTTGTTATTACATTTCGAGAATATTTGATATTATAATTATCACATCTATTATTATGATGATGAACAATAAAATATAATTTTATATATTAGACCTATTATTTAGATCATATCTTTCATGATCAACCCATTTTAACATATAATAAGTAGTAATCTTTTGAAGTTTACGATAATCGAAAACTATTCATTGAATAATGTCATGATTTAGATAAGTTTGTGCTTGCAATTCATCAATTGTAAATATGATCATTAATAATACGATGATTTAGCAACATACAAAATCATACTTTTCTTTCAATATCTTCTTGACCTTTATAAAGTCTTGTATATCATCTTTTAAATTGTTCTGAGACGTTTGAAACCTCACCAACAAAAATAAAATATAATATAGTAAGAATTTCAATGTAGAAGTATCAGTTTTTCGTATCTATCTAAAGCCGAGTACTATATGAACAATTAGTAAATATATCGAAAAAAGTCTCTATAAGTATTTCTTGATATCAATAAAATAAAAAACAAAATTTTATTTTTCTCTTATAGATATATATATAAATATTTCAATTGTATTATAGATATGACAAGCAAATCAGCTCTTACAGTTTATAAACATTTATTACGTGAATTATCTATAAATAATTCCTTATTTTCATATCGATTTTCACCAATTTATTTTAAAATTAAAGATGAATATCGTCGTTATCGTCCAATAACATCAAAATATTGTAAACATAATGATGAAGTTTTATTTATTGCACAAACTTATTTAACTTATTTACAAAGTGTACGTCAACGTAAAATAATTCATGCAACATATTCAAAAGGTGAAAGAACTGTTCAACAAGCTGCAAATATTGTTGGTTTAGAATTACCAAAAACAATTGATCGACCACATTTACCAATTGATCAACTATCTAAATAAAAGACTATTGAAATTTATTCGTTTTTTTTTTGTGTTTTCATAGTTATTTTTTCCTTGACTTTTCTTTTTTGATTTCAGATGAATTTATGTGATCCAAAACAAAAAGCATTTGCACAACGTGTTTATTTTGATCTAAAAATTTGTTAGTATAAATAATTTAATAATAATGAAAATAATTTCAATATTCTAAAATATATAAAATTTATCATTGTTTTTAATTTAATATAGGTCGTAAATGGTCGAAACTTCATGTTTATTTTAATGAAGTTAATAAATGGATATTTTTTATTGGTAGATCATCTGATGATCAACCATTGACATTTGTTTTACCTATATCAAATGATGAACAATTAACTATTGATGATTTATTTAATTTAAGATCAATATTATCTTCAACATTACCATCAAATATTCATGAAAATATTTCAAGGTTAATGAACTATTTATATTTTCTTTATGATTTTGAAATAATTTAAAAAAGAACAAACAAAACAGATGTATAAATATATATATACTTCAAATAAAAGTAAATCATTGTCTAGAATGAAATGCTAAGGTTTAGAAAACAGACATTTGTTTGTACCTCTCTCTCTCTCTGTAACATAATTATAATACGGTAACTATAATACGAATGACTGCGTAGGATAACAAAAAAAAAAATTTCTCAACTTATACGACTCTATTTTAGTTTATTACGTAGCTCAGTATTACGAACATGTTTCTGCGTATCACATACGGACAAATACGATTGTAATACTGAGCCATGTAATACACTTCTCATTCACGTATTCTATCTGAAATTACTGGTGAATTCTGTCGAGTTGGTTCTGCATTTAAGAATTTAAAACTCAATTGGCTCTAGTCGTCTGAGAAATGTGTAGAGTACGCTAATTATCGAATACGAAATGCTAGAAAACAATATATCGTATCTTCGAGACGACGCAATTATAGTTGAACGGCAATTTTTCAAATTTCAATTAATTATTTTGAGCCAAATACTTTTTTCACATTGTTTTGTAGTGAAGACTTTGCTCTTTCTAATAAGAAAACTATCAAGTCTTCACAACGAGCTGCTGCCACCAGATACTGAAAATGAAATGAAAGCAGCACTTTTCAAGCAATCGTTACATACTCTGATTTGGTCGGAGATTCGTTTCATGAATAAATTTAGTGCGTAGTTTTTTTTTTCCTTTGAATCGAACATTCCTTGTCTGTTGATATTAAAAAAAAACAAACCATTTCACTTGTTTTCTCTTATAATAATATAAAATCAGCAAACAGCAATCGAACAAAGAAAAAGCTTTCATGTATCTTAATATATTTCTTTTCTGTATTTTTTAGTGTATTAATGGCAATCGTTGCAAATGATTTTACCTTAGGTTATTTCAATTTTTCATTTGGTCTTCCATCATCTATACCATCCATTAGAACAGAAACAAAAACAGAAACCGAAACTTCTAATAATCAAATAATATCTACAATTGATGATGATGATGAATTTATCAATGAAATAAAAAAAGAAACAATAAATAATGAATGGCCTACAAATGAAACAGATGCTACTTGGGACTAATAAATATTAATAAAAATCTATTCAAAAAATTTCTTCTAAATGAATTTATTTATTCCAGATATGGAACATATAATGTGTTTAATCACAAACAAATATATTAGAATAACACAAATTAGTAAGAATATTTTTTTTTCTTTCTTTTTTTTTTTCTTTTATAAATGTTCTCCTTCTCCAGTTTCTTCTTTAAATGAATATTGTTGTTCATCACTATCATCAACTTCATCATCATCATCATCTTCACTAAATTCATATTCATCATCAAATATATCACCTGTATAATAGAGTATTGCTTTTGGAATAATATTTTCACGTATATAATGACCAATTTGAAAATCAGTTGCTAATTTCCAATCATCAATATTTGTTGATGATGTAAAAAAATTAAAAAATGATGATTGTAATTCACCTGTATCAATATTTCGTGTTACATTTGTTTTTAAATTAATCCAATCAATTTCACATCCTATTGAACGTATTATAGCTGTACCTTCATAGAAAAGTAATTCATCATCAGGTTCAATTTGTAGTTCATAAAATTTTGTTAAAATTATATTATTAAAAAATTTTTTTGATTCTTCATTAAAATGAAATTCAAGTGTAAAACCAATTATTGGTTGATTATGTAATTGAAGTTTAATATCAGAAAGACATTTAAGTAATGGTTCATCCCATTCTTCAATCATATCAGCAATCATAGGTACCTTAACATAAATAATGTTTTTCTAAAAGTTTTATTTACAATAGAAAGCAACAATCTACAATCTTCTCTACATATTGGTTATTATAGATATCTGTCACAATTACTTAAACACAACGAAAATTGTAGTAAAGAATGCCTATTTTTATTTTAAGCTTTTAACCTGAAAAGATTGTCTACTAATTTATTCGTCACCTGTTATCAAGTATTTTAATCGAAGATTGTTGTCTCTGCGTTCTCTATACTAACATGAAAAATAATTCGAATTTTATTTTCATTTTATGGAAAATAATCATATTCAATTATAAATATAGACAATGTACAAGTTTCAGTTTGATTCATACAAATAATACTGAGTTATAGTCTTCAAACACTAGCAGATAGTTTTTTTTTCTCATCCGATAGATCATGGAAAAATGGCTATATCAAGTTCTTCTTTTTTCAGACGTATAAAATTAAAAAAATAAATAAATGCAATTCTTTACTATCTATTATAATCGTCATTTGATTAAAATGATTGAGGTAAACTCATATCTCAGACATACTCTTGTATTGAAATATGTACACATAAATTTTCGAATCTAAATCTGGCCGAATTCGGAATCAACTTGGCAGAACTCTAATATTGACAAAATACGAGACTATTTTTTTCTCAGTTCTGTATTTATTTTTGATCTCACTTGTTTAAGTGTTTGTAACCAAAATGAAGGAATTCCTAATCTATCATTTGATAATGATGATCTTTCAAGTAATTCAATAGAATCAGTTTTTAATCGACATTCATCATCATTTGGTTCATATATTCCATTAATTATATTTGAACGTTTTTGAAATAAATATGAACATTGTTCATGAAATTTATATTCAAGTTCATTAACAGATTTTAAATAACGACTTTCCAATTGATTATAAGATATTTGTAAATTTTTTAATGCATTTATATAATTATTATCTATTGTTAATGAAATATGTTTATTAAAAGATGAAAATTCTTGTTGATCACCATGATCTAAAGATAATGATGATTCATCTGATGTTATAACTATTTCTTCACTAGATGATAACATTGATACAATTAAAGCATGAAAATCAGCAAATAAAAATGCGCGATTTTAAATTGAATTCTTCAAATGAAATAAAAAAAACAACATCTGTGGTTTTTTTTTTGTATAAGACATATTATTCTATAGAGATTAAACTTTCTCTCTTGATGATCATTTCTAATTTATTGTTGACATATATATATATATGAAAGAAATAATCACATTTATTTTCATTTTACTGATTATTTACGTGAATTTCTTTCTGTCTATATGTATTCACTTAATAGATATTATGATCGAGTATATGCATATGTTCATCATAGAATATTGTTATGATTACTATGTTTGGGTTAATGAATACAAGACTTTTGTTTAACATTCGCTAGCAGAATTAATCTAAGCCAGTGTTATTTGTAGTTGTTGTACGAACAAATAATTTGTTTATCTCATTTGTCGAACTATTGCACTGTTAGTTGTATTTATACAATTAGAACAAGTTCATTATAATATTGTCTGTGTTCACTATATGTGTTCGATATAATATGGTTCGATGCCATTTTTATTATATTCATATTATGGTTCAATGAAATAACTTATATGTAGAAAATAAAATAAGTAATAGATTTCGATTAGATATTTAAATCATAAATCAAATAACTTCATTAAGATCTATTATCTTACGTAAGATAGATATATGAGTATACAAAAAAAAACACCGTAACTATACATGTTCATTATTTTAACGATCAAACGTATTGCTTAAGTGCGAAAGAAATAAAAAAGAAGTAAGAACAATAGATTGATTATCTAATAAGGTTTTTTTTTTGCAACTTCCTGTATCGGATTTGAATTTCCGTTTTCTAGTGTCACACTTTTCAATTTCTCATATTTATTTAAGTATAAGTATGCAAAAAAGAAAAAAATTTAATTGAGTATTTTTCATATACCTTGTTCCGATATTTATCAGATACATATCACTTCATGTCATCTATGAATATGGTTTACTAGGTGTTTGCCTCTTTAATTGTAAAAATTTGCATATTCTGCATATATTTATATCAGTGATGATTTGATGGGGAAGTGATATCGTGCGGTGTTGGTGTGAGGAGAAGAGAGAGAAAGAGACGAAGGAGAAAATAGCGATGATGAAGAATAGACAAGAAAGAAAGAGAGAGGGAGAGAGAGAGAGAGCGGGAAGGAGAATAACAAGGCACGCCATCACCTTTTTGGGCATTAATATACGTACGTGTGTGGGATATCTGCCTACTTTTTTTTCTCTCCATCTCTCTTTTCTATCTTCTTCGTTTGTTGTCATTGTTTGTTCTGTTCTTCACCACCATCACACTATCATTCTACATAACTACGGTATATTTTTCTTTACCTATATCTACGACAATGTTTCGGTTCACAGCGTTGATTTTTTTAAAATATTAGTTAAGTATCATTTTTTTTTTCTTTGCTCTATGCCGATAAGAAACAAAAAACGAAAATATATGCTATATACATAGACTTATAAAAAAATAGTATGATACTGTCAATATTTTTCTTCAATTTGTAATTATGAAACAACCACTATTGTCATTATTATCATTTATTCACTGATATATAAACGTGTGTGAATAAAACAGACAGATAAGAACTAAAAAATAACCTAAGTAAAAACTTGTTTTAACGACGCGTCGAACAGGTGAGCAATTTCACAATAAAAGGGTCATCTCTGTCTAGTTCTATACGAACAGTTTCAATTTATTCCATCGTCGACTGATAAGACAACATTGATTATAAAAACTATATCTCCCTCTAATATATATATATATGTGTGTGTGTATGCATAGATATGCGTATATGTATATGCTATAGATCGTTTATTTTGTTGACACATTTCATCGAGAAAGCAAAGAAAGAAAGGGAGAGTGAAAAGAAACCTTTGCCGCATGTGCACATCCGCTTGTTGCACAATCTACTGCAACTACTGCTAATACACCAGCAAAAGATTGATGATCGTTGACATTTGCTAGTCACAGAAAAAAAAGAGTGTAGTAACAACAACTTGTTGGTATCTTTTATGGAAGGCAATCGAAGGATTTACTAGACATATCAAATAGGTATAAGCGTGACTTTCTTTTTTTACTACTTTATTGATTTCATGGTTTTTTCTCTTTTTTTTTTTTGCTAATCCTTCTTTTCTTTTTAATAGTAATAGTGATACTTTTTAAAATATAAGAGCTATATCGTCTTTTTTAAGTTCTCTTTTTATTTAAATTGAACAGAGCAGAAGGTTATTAATGCATTTTTTTGTTTAAGTATGCAGTATCCGTATATATATATATGTATTCATTGCACGTGAAATAGGAAGAACGTCATAGTTATGTCTTTTTCTGTAGGGTGCCTTGTTGTAAAAAAAAAAAAAAAGCAAGAATAATTGCGTGCTCGTGTACGCCCTTGAAAGTAACACAACGACAACGACACATACATGTACACAACGATGATGATGATGATGGTGATGAGAACACATGTGATTGCAATAGAGTAGCAACAAAATGTGAACAGAAAATATATATATTTATTTGATTGTCGATATCTTCAATCATATCATATATACATTATATACGTTTTTATATGTTCATTTAAGTGATTATGTTTTCTCGTTGTTCGTTTTTATCTTCTTCTTCGTCTTCTTTCTATGTAGTATATACATTTAGGCACCATGTGTGACCAAGATCTATTATCAACAATTGATCGTAAAGAAAGATACGATTGACTACAGCTGTAGTTGATCGCTTCAATTCCAGTTGTTGTTTTTCTTGTTGTTGTTGTCATGTGTCAGTATAATATACTAGATTGTCGGGTGATCAAAAGTACCGATTAACCGAGAAAAAGTTGATAGAATTGTGAGATTATTGATTAGAAACGGATGTAGTGTATCTTATTCGTTTTCTTCGTCAATGATTATATTTTCTATGAATATTATCTTCTTATATCTATCACGTATGTATGTTTAATATCAAATTATTTTAAGTTTTTATTTATTTGTAAAATTGGAATTATTCAACAGATTTTTATTTATCTATTGCCAAGTATATATAATTCTTGAGTATGTACATATATCTTGTGACAAGTGCTCTAACCACAAATATTCATGTATTTTTTGTTAATATGCTTATGTTTTTGAGTGATGAAGGAAAATAATTGCAGAAAGAGAGAGATCTAAGTTACAACTTCTCTAGGCTATTGATTATTGACAATGATAAAATAGCGATAATTTTTTTCATCGAGGGTAAGCTCGATTTTCAAATAATAGTTACTGTTTTTATGATATATATATATATATATATATTTAGAGAACATTTATTTAGGGATTACTTCTTTTTTTTTTTTCTTAGAAACTTTTATGAAATTATTCTGATATGAATACATACGAATGTGAATATTTTTTTCTTTCTTTCTTTGGATTCTTTTTTTTTTTTGGTATCATTAATTTTCGATGTTTCTTTTTTCTTGACATCATAATTTTGTTCGTTTATATGATTAGAATAGTTATGAAGAAAAAAGAAAATTTCCATCTATTATAACTCGTCCAAATACACACACGAAGGTCAAATGTCTGCAATTGTTCTATTTATTTACAATTGATGTATTACCTCATCATATGAATAATTAATTGTTCTATTCACATAATTGCAAATTATCTTTGATTATTGATGAGAACGAAGTGAATTAATAGTGGTTAGAGAGGACTACAAAATTATTTTTTGAATAAAATTTCGAATATAAATTCTATACGTTTAATTATCCTTGAGTTGTCAATAATTAAAACTTAAGAAAAAAGATAAATGCCAGCCGACTCTATCTGGTTAAGAATATATCAAATTGCAGTTATCAATAGTAGGTTGCAAGAATGCTAATTTCATTCCATTACCAGATCAAGACATAGAGAGAAAACGCGACATGAAATGACATTTTGATAACAAAGATAGACGGATAGAACTCTTTCGCCCACCTTCTGTTTGATCGTTTGATGAATAGCAGTAAGAAAAAAATAATCGTTATTATTATTATAGATTTTTCTATCACATTCGAAATATAGAATAAAAGAGAATACTTACAAAAACAAAAATGAAGCCTAGATGAATTTACTTTCCTTTTTTTTTTTTTTTTTTTTTTTTTAGTTGTTGATTTTTCAATGATTATGTTAATTTACTAAAGAATATTAATATAGAAAGGTGTCGAACAAATCCAGATCTGTACAATGTAGAATGTTTAGATAGAAAGAAAGAATACGAGAGAAAATAGAATGATTATTTGCTTATTTGTAGAATAGGAAAGAGATAAAGAAAGTACGATATGACTTGATTGATGCTTCACAAGGACAAATCGATCGAAGTTTGTGTAGACTATAAACAGAACACGAAGAAATCAGATAGATGCGTATACAACGACTTAATAAGGCATCAGTGTTGTTGTCTATTTTATTAAATATATATGACTAGTATATTTAACAGACCAATTGAATTGTTATATAAATCAATTGAATGAAAATTTATGATCATAATTGAATTTTAATTCTTTTCTTCTTTATTTAGATAATGATCATTTTTCATCAAATCAAAATATTCTTTACTATTTTCATTGTAATAATCAATATTCATAGTGTTATTACAAATGAAAAATGTAAGAAAATTTAAATTAAATATTTTCATGATTTTTTTTTAAATTTATTTATCTAATTTAATATATATATGTGTATAGCAATAGACAATCAAGATTCTTTAATCAATCCTTCATTTTTGGATGATGCTTATTATGATGGTGATCAACAAACACCACAACAAATTGAATATTTTCAAGCAATTAATTGTTCAATACAATGTATACCACATTGGTTTGAACCTGTTTTATCACAAAAACAAACATTAGTTTATCCAACATCAGCATCTATTTCACTTAAATGTCCATATCGAGCTAAACCAAAAGCTAAAATAACATGGTTTAAAGATGGACAAATATTTATACCAGAATTAATTGAATTGGTAAATAAAATATTTATTTGAGATTTCTTTTGTTTTTAATTTAAATTTATATATTATTATTATTATTTAGTTTTCAATTGATGATATGTATTTAAATATTACTAAAGCAACAATGTATGATGCAGGAATATATACATGTATTATTGAAAATAGTTTAGGAAATATAAGTCGATCATTTCAATTAATTGTACAAGGTCGTAGTCTTGATCGACCAGTATTTACATCTAAATCAACAAATTTAACACAATATGAAGGTGATAATATAACATTTGAATGTGCATTTTATTCGGATTCAAGTCCATTTGTTCAATGGTTTGTTCGACGACGATCAAATAAAATTCAAAATAATGATCAACTTAACGAATTAGAATTTATTAAGGTAATTTAAATGAATTCATTTATATTTATCGAATCTTCTTTAATCTATTTCCATATCAATAAAAAACAAAAAAAAAATCCGTATAAAAAAAAAAATAAACAATTCTATGTCTATCTATAGTTTTCTAATGGATCAAGATTTAGTATAGGAAAACGGCAGGTAACATAAATACAATTATAGAATTATTTTTTCTGACTGTTTTTCTTTTGCTGTGTATTTTGCGTGTACTTTGAAGTGTGCGTCGTTTTTTTTTTGACGATTTGCATTATTTTTATTGATAATTTGATGGTTTTATTGCATGCTAGCATCAATATTAAATAGAGAAAAAAAAAAAAAAGAAAAGACGAATGAGAATCCATATAAAGCATGTTTTAAATATTTATTTATGGTAATATGAATACAATTTATAAATGAAAATACTTAAGTGCAAATTAAAAAAATATTATTTTCGAAGGACATTTTTTTTTTGTTGTTTCTTTGAGTTAAACCTTGAAAAGTTACTAAAATATATCGTGTCCAAAGGCTAAATAATATACTAATCGACTAAATTCTATCCGTTAGACAGATATATATAAGAGATAAAGAATAGTCTCATTTATCTTGCTTAGATGTTCGTACAAGTAGACGTTCGCTACTCAATTAATCAGTAATTAACCGAGACCATTATCTTTCATCTCATTGTCTACTACTAAAGAGCAGAAAAAAAAAAAACTTAGAAATGATTGAACATATGTCTGTTTACATCCACTTGTATGGCAAGCGTGTTATGAATAATCATTCACTTAACAAGAATAAAAAGAAAAATAGAAGCCTAAATATGAACCATCTCTCTAAATAATCAAGAAGTCAATAATTATGAATGATTATTTATATATTAATATAAACATAAATATGTATGACGCCTGATATTTTGATTTTTGCACAAATAAATAATAATAAATGTTATGTTTTTTTTTTTAATATTGAAATATTTCCATTTGATTTTGATTTGAGAAAAAAATAAATATATTTTGTTTTTTTTTCTAACGAGGGAACGTTTTCAACTGTCAAACTCTTTTTGAGTTCGGACTTTGTGCACAAGATAGATCCTAGTGAGATATGAAAAAGTTCAAAAGATTAAATTCTCTTAGGCCTTCTGTCCAGAGTTATAGACATTTTACTAAAATTTTAGCCTAGGGCATACTATATACGAACAAAATTGAATGACAGCATTTCGATCTGAGATTTTGTTCACAGATATGTCTATTGATCATTAGAATACCCTGAAAATTTCAGCTCAAAATAACATTTCCTTCTCGAGATATTAAAGTTCCAAAAAAAAAGAAAATTCGAGCATTTGTTATCCTATATGAGTCATTTTTGGGACTTTAATATCTCCAGAAGGAAATGTTGTTTTGAGCTGAAATTTTCACTGTATTCTAATCATCAATAGATCTGTCTGTAGACAAAATCTCAGACCGAAATGCCGTCATTCAATTTGTTCATATATAGCATGCCCCTTGGCTAAAATTTTAGTAAAATGTCTATAACTCTGAACAGAAGGTCTAAGGGAATTTAATCTTTTGAAATTTTTCATATTTCACTAGGATCTATCTTATGCATAAAGTCCGAACTCAAAAGGAATTTGACAGTTGAAAACGTTCCCTCGTAAGTATTTAAGTTTATATATATATATATTTATTGTTTTTTTTTTGTTGTTTTTCTTAAGGAATATAATCCACATACAATGTCTGAAGATGAAGTTAAATTATTAAATATAAATAATGTACAACGTAATGATACAGGTGTTTATCTTTGTCGAGTTTTAAATGAATATGGTTTTGCTGATTTAATTCATCATCTTATTGTTTTACCTGGTAGGACAAAAAAAAAGATTATATTTATTTAATATTATTTTTTCTAATAAAATGAATATATATATGTTTTTTTTCAGCATCTGAACGTCCATCATTATTAAGAAATATTTCAATAGGTACACGTCGTTATATATCAAATAGATTTCCTGATGAATTAATTATAACTATTGCTTGTATAATTGGAATATTATTATTTACATTTATATTTTTTCTTATTTATCATTTTCGTAATCAAAAAAGTTTACGACAAACATTATTAGCAACAAGAATTTTAGCTACACGTGGTATTAGTAATTTAAAAACTGTAAGTTTGTTTTTTTTTAATTGATTAATTAATTTTTAAAATATTCTTATAAAATTATAGAATCAACTTTATCGAAGTGATATTGATCCTAAAACAAGAAAACCATTAATAGAAGATGGATGTCGTCGTTTTCCAACTGAAGGAACAATATCAACAATTATTTCATCATATTATGATGATCAATGTGAATTTCCTCGTGAAAAGTAAAATGAAATTTTTTTTTTTTGTCAGTTGAAAATACACATATAGAATATTAATTTTTCTAGTCTTACTATTGGTCATTTAATTGGTAAAGGTGCATTTGGTTTTGTATTTCAAGGTTTAGCTAAAAATATTAATTCAAAAGAAAAAATAACAACTGTTGCAATTAAAACTGTTCGAGGTAAATTAATTAATAAAATAATATAGAATAATTCTCTTAGTATTATAAAATATTCATTCATTTTTTAGACACAAATGATTAGATCAAAATATAATTAGTTAGAATCAAATATTTTTACTCTTTTCAAATATATGTTCAGAATTTCTTTCGTAGAACAACATAGTTTTAAAAGGATCAAAGTACTGATTTTAGACGATACGAATTTAGTTAATCTTATATTTTGATTGAAAAATGACCAAACTCATAATGTGAAATTATTTTTGATGGTTCATAAGGACATCTCACCAGTTGTTAAACCGCTTTCCGATCGAAACAATGTTCGTTTGATAAGACATAGAAAAGTCTAAAATGACTTCGTTTGTTGAGATATCAAAATTTTACTAGGGTTTTTCAACAAAAACAAAAAAAACTGTGGTTCTTCTCCGATTATCAAGAAAATGAAATTTAAAGTTTCAACTTGAAAACTTTCCATAAGTAAAATTCTTTATGAGATTAGTTCATTATAAAAAAGAATTTTCTATGTAACGAATGAAGATTCGAAACTCAAATCATTCTAAATTGTTTATTTATTCATCAAATGAACATCATTCTCGGTCGAAAAATGATGCGACACTTGGCGAAATTTCCTCATCAATGTTGTAATACAAAGTGTATTGTTCTCTTGTCTATTTCGTCTTACATAATAGATTTTAAAACTTTTGTATGTTTAAAAACAGTTAGTTTTTAATCAATGTTAATTTTTATAGATACTAACTCTTTAGTGAAAATACATAGATGACATTTTGTTTATTGTTCAATTTTATCTTAAATGAAAATCATGAACATATAATCGAAAATAAAGAAAACTTCTGATTGATAGGATAGGCATCTTTTAGTCTATTTTGATAGTAATATGTTAGTTATCCGTGATAAAATCTGTTATTGTTTTTCAATAAATGATGTGTTACATAATACAGTTATAAATAGAATTTACATATTTATAGTACAAAATAATTTATTATTTTTAAATATCAATCATATATAATTCATTATCATATACTTTTTTCTTTTTTTAAATTTTTCTTTTATTTAACATTTAAGATGATGCAACATCAGAAGAAATTGAAAATTTACTTAAAGAATTATCTGTTATGAAAATGGTTGGTAAACATACTAATATCATATCATTACTTGGTTGTTGTACAAAAGGAGGTAAAATTATATTTAAAATAAATACAAAAAACGAATATTTAATTGAATAGGTCAAGTTATGTTAATTGTTGAATATGCAAAATATGGTAATTTACGTGATTATTTACGTCGTAAACGTCCATCCGGACATATTTTATCGGGTTCATATGAACAAGATGAAAATGATAATGCATATAAACAAGATGATAATGATGATTTAATAAATTCCTTAACAACAATTGATTTAATTTTTTTTTGTTTACAAATTGCAATTGGAATGGAATATTTACATTCGAAAAAAGTAAAAAAAAAAATTTTTCTTGGTTTTTTTTTGTTTAATTAAAAAAATTTTATTTTTAAGTGTATACATCGTGATCTTGCTGCACGAAATGTTCTATTAGCAGAAAATCGTATATGTAAAATAGCTGATTTTGGACTTGCAAGAGATTTGACACAAACATATTATTATCGAAAACAAACCGATGTAAATATAATAATGATAATGATTTTTTTTTTTGTCTTCTAAATTTTATTTGAATTTATTATTATGTTGTGCTTCTATATAGGGTCGTGTACCAGTGAAATGGATGAGTCCTGAAGCATTATTTGATAGAAAATTTTCAACAAAAAGTGATGTATGGTCATTTGCTATATTAGCATGGGAAATAATGACATACGGTGGTACACCATATCCATCAATAGCTGCTGAACAATTATTTGATTATTTAAAAAATGAAAATCGAATGAATCAACCAGCAAATTGTCCAAATGAAATGTAAAATATCTTTTGTTAAAATTTAGAATTTTGTTTTTTTTATTTATTATTGTTTCATTCATTTAGTTTTCAATTAATTGAATTATGTTGGACATTTAAAGAATCATTACGACCAACATTTACTCAAATATGTGAAAATCTTCGAGGTTATTTATATGGTTCATCACCACTTGATTATTCCGATTTAGATTATGTAGATTTTCCTCCATTATCATCACCATCAATGAGTGATTTTGCATCAACAACTGTTTTACCTATATCAACATCAGGTATTGCAACTGATACAAATAGTCATAGTCAAACAACAACAGCAGCTACATCATCATCATCACTTTCATAATTTTTCTTTTCTTTTCTTTCTTTTTTTTTAATGTTTATTTCATTAATTGAAAATTTTTCGTGTCTTTGGTTTGTTTGTTTGTTTGTTTTTCTTTATAATTATCTCATTTATCGACAATCAGACATGTTGTCTCACGTACAGTATTTTAGTGTATATATATATATTATCTTTTTATTGTTGTTGCTAGTTTTTGTGTCAAATATTTTTTTTTTAATTATGTCTATTTGCAATATAAACTAAACGATTTGATCTAGAAAAAAAGAAAAAAAAAAACATATTTTGTTTTTATTTAAAGAATGGAATGATATCTAAATAAGGAATGTATGATAGTTGAAATTTATGATTAGAATTACTATTTAAAAGATGATAAATTCCTTTGAGAAAAAAATCTTGATGATTGAGATACAGTTCTGGACAAATGTAGCCGTTCCTTAAAAAATGCTACTTGTATATGCGTTCGACAACAAACTCTGATCGTAAGTTTCAACTTATGTGTATTCGTTAATGATTGCATCATTTAAAAAGATCATTGACGTAACTGAGTTATTGTCGTCTCATTAGTTTTTAGTAACATAGATTTTTTCCATGATGACTTTGACTAATTCATTTAAAGACTTTAGTAGAAAGTTCCTATGAGACAAAAAGTATATTCTGAAAGTTTTACAATAATACCATTGAATTAAAGGCAAATTAGCACTACAACATAGATTTATGACTTCAAGACATACTAATTACTAAGACTGGGAACTTTAGCAATAGTAACGCAGATATTAGAAGCTGCCTTTAGTAACTTGTGAAATAGTTAAATAACAAATAAAAAATTTTTGTATGCTTATTTTCTGTTAAAATGTTCTTTTTTACAAGGAAAACAAGATGTGTAAATCATAACTCCATTACATATGAATCGATAAGTTGCTTGAGATTCCCATAGGCACTAACTAACGACTTACTAGCCAAATCGTAGTCAGCCTACTTTTGTTAGTGACTTGTTTACAGTTATTTAATGGTTGATGATACCAAGTTTTGAACATGGTACTTAATGGGTATTCATTCAATAACGCAGCCACTTAGTCGAAGTGATATCAAGCATATTAGCATTTCATAGAAGCGGCATTAACTTTTGTTCGAGACTGTATATGAAATTGATAAATTCATTATGAAGCTTGAAAAGACAACTTTACAAATTTTTTTTTTGATTTTATTAAAGAAATTTCATATATATTAACATATATATATATATAATTTTAATTTATTCTGTAGAAAAATGACATTTGTTTCACCCATAAATACAATTACACTCGATTGTTCAGGCAATGTATTACCAAATGCTATCTTACTTGCTGATGTTGATGCAACTAAAGTAAGAGCATAATTTAGAAAAGTTCTTTATACGAATTATATTTTTACAATAGACTAATAAATTATTAGTTGGTACTCAAGAAGGTGAATTACTTATATTTAAAGCTATGAGAAATCAAAATGATGCACAATTATGGCGTCGAGCACATGGACTTGGATTTGTAAGTTCTACTGATGAAATAACAACAACAAAAAAACAAAAAAAAAAAAAAGATTTTCTTCCTCAATCATTTTTAGATAACAGCTGTTACTGTTGGTTCTCTTATAACAAATGCTAATGAACTTCGACCAATAATTTGTGTAGCAAATGCTGAAGGAACAATTCATTTATTTGCTGTACGGCAAAATGTATGTAATAATAATAATAATAATAATCAATAAATTATATTGTTATTTTAAGGTACAAAGAAATCGTGTACGTAGTGCAGGTGGTGGTACTTTCAGTGGTAATACTCGAAATGATTCAAAATTACAATTACATGGATCACCAATAATATTAAATGATGATGAACAACAACAACAACTTCAAGTAGTATATAGTCAACAACTTATTTGTAATCCAAAAGTATTACTTATTCAAGGTAGAAATAAAAGAAAAAGTTTTCTATTGATTTTTTGTTTTTGTTTCAATTGATAAAAATAAAATTTTAGATTTTAATGAAAATGAAAAACAATTAATAATTAGTTATTCAGATAGAACAATTCGTATATTTATTTCAATGATTATAGAAGAATATGATGGTCGATTATCTGGTCGATTTACATTAAAACATGTTTTTCATGTTGCTGATCAAATTCATACATTAAATTCTAAACGAATATCAAATAAAGATTATGAACTTATTGTTTCACAACCAGGTGGAAATCTTCTTCGATTCAATCCTAATGAAGAAAATAGTAATGAAAACAAAAATAAAAACACAACAATTCGATACATTTATTCTTTTTTCTTTTATATTAAAATATTTATTTTTTAGGTCGAATCACAGCAACAGATATATGTGGTCATACATCAACAGGATGGACAGAAGCAATAGCAGTTGATAAATTTTTTGATGAAACTATTTATGCAACTATATGTCAAGGTATGAAAGTTACATTCGAAACACTTTTTCTTTTAGACTTCACAAAATGTACACGAACCTCTCTTCAGATTCTATATCGCATCATTTCTTTTTTCAAAGAGAAAAAAATATTTGCCAAGATCTTCTTCTTAAAATTATAGGAATCTTATAAGGTTGATCAGAGAAAAAATAGGTCTCTCTGAATTTTAATCTTTCTGAAACATCCATTAGAATATTTTAATTTTCCTTTATATTTTTTTTGTTATTGATTTTTGTAAAGTCCTGACTGAGAAAAAACTAATGCTAAAAGTAAATTACTTGATAGCAATAGATAGAAAACGTTGTACTTAATACCTTTACGATTTTTTCAAAGTTCTCGAGACTGATGTTGACGAGAAAAAGGTTGCAATTGATAACTGTTGATATTTTTGAGTGTATTTTAGAAACACATGTTTTTACAAAGCAAATTTGCTCTATGAAAGATTTGTTATTATCTCGTTTGATGTAGAATTTCAATCTAAGAAAAATTGTATAACGGTTACATAGATCTACCATTAAAAAAAAGATCTTTTTTAATGCATTTTTGCTTTGTTTCTAGTTGAAAACTATAGCTTCTAAATATTTTTTCTAAAAATCCAACACATGCATCAAGCGATGTAGAATTTTAAGGTAATCTTTTTTTGTAACTGTTGCAGTAAAACAACTAAATGAATGTTTTTCTTCTATATATTGCATCGCTAAAGAATAATTTTCTTGATAAATAAAATTGAGTTTTGTAGTGTTTGAAATACATAAGAGGAAATTGTTTTTATAATTAAGAAATGAAAAAAAAGAAATATACTAACGAGGGAACATTTTCAACTGTCAAACTCCTTTTGAGTTCGGACTTTATACATAAGATAGATCCTAGTGAGATATGAAAAAGTTCAAAAGATTAAATCCCCTTAGACCTTCTGTCCAGAGTTATAGGCATTTTACTAAAATTTTAGCCTAGGGCATGCTATATACCAACAAATTGAATGACGGTATTTTGGTCTGAGATTTTGTCCACAGACATGTCTATTGATCATTAGAATACCCTAAAAATTTCAGCTCAAAAGAACATTTCCTTCTCGAGATATTAAAGTCCCAAAGAAAAAAAAAGAAAACTCGAGCATTTGTTATCCTATATGAGTTATTTTTGGGACTTTAATATCTCGGGAAGAAAATGTTGTTTTGAGCTGAAATTTTCAAGGTATTCTAGTCATCAATAGATCTGCCTGTGGGCAAAATCTCAGACCGAAATGCCGTCATTCAATTTGTTCATATATAGCATGCCCCTAGGCTAAAATTTTAGTAAAATGCTTATAATTCTGGACAGAAGGCCTAAGGGGATTTAATCTCTTGAAGGTTTTCATATCTCACTAGGGTCTATCTTATGCATAAAGTCTGAACTCAAAAGGAATTTGACAGTTGAAAACGTTCCTTCGCGAGATGTAGTGCATTTTCTCCTAAGACCCTCGTTATTTATAAGACTAAGTTACACAAGCCCCATCTTTAATAACAGGTCGTCCATTTAACTGATTCAACTCTATTTGATGCTATTTTTGTTTCAAGTCAATTTAATTACATCAGCTTATTACTATAAATATATTGGCAAGTATGTATGAATATTCTTTTTTGATTTCTTACATTCGCTGCAATTATCCATTTAGTTATCAGATCTCTTTTATTTTTTGTCCTACTTATGATACAGGGAAGAGTATATTCTAAATAATAATCAGTAACAATTTTAGGCATGAATCAATATGAACTCAGTAATCGAGCAAGAAAATTTTCCATACATACAAGTATTTTTATAGAAATAAGCTGATATAATTAAATTGACTTAGAAAAAAAAAACCATAAAATCCTTTTGAATTAGCTAAATGAGTACAAATCAACTGAGTGAACTGCTAATGAAAGTAATGCATACCTCGATTATCTAAGAAATTTGATGCATGATAATATGAAATAATTTGAAAAAATAAATCAAATAGTATTTAAAATTTTATAAATAAAAATTTTAGAATTATTTTATAATTTAAAATTAATATACTTTTTATTTTAAAGATCATATTGATATATTTTCTGGTCAACTGAATAAAATAATTAATACAATTTCATTAAATGTACCAACTGGTCATCTATGCGGTCTTCGAAAAGGACCTGTTACAGTAAAAAATAGATTCTTGTTTTTTTTTGTCTTTGATTTATTTAAATTCTTTTTTTTTTACGTAAATTTTAATAGAAAGATAATTATAATCAATTAGTAGCAATATCATCTGTTGATGGTGATACATTTCTTGTTGATCGTCATTCAACTATAATTTGTATTCGACCACCATTATCAGCAACTACAATTGTTGGTAGTGACAATGATTCAATAGGAAATAGTAATATTTTTGATCATATAGAAGCATTTACATCAGGTTTATTTGGTGATAATAATATGTATTGTTTTATTTATGTTTTAACACATAATGATAAAATATTAATTGTACATTCAATTGAAATAAGTGATACAAGAACAGCAAATCTTTTAACAACAATAACAAAAACAACATTAGATGAAAAATTAAAAGAAGGTAAAAAAATTGATGTTTTTTCTTTTTTCTTTTTTCTATTTTGATTTTCTTATTGAATTATTTAGTTGGAACAATGTCAGAACAATTAAAAGATATTTTACATCCTCATTATTAAATTTTCATTATATTGATTTAATAAAAGACACAAAAAAAAAATATATAAAAATAAATTTTAAATAAATATTTTGATAATTAGAATGAATTGAAGAAAAAAAAAAACAAAGATTTTAATTTATAAATTCATTTATTTGAAAATACTATCAAACGGAAACGAACATTATTATTATATTGAATTCTAAAGAAATAAACATTTTTCTTTTTTTTTTTTCTTTTATTCTAATTGACTCTATTATTATTTATAAGTAACAACAGATACTCTCTTATTTTTACATTAATTATATCTGTCACATATATCTTCTGATCAAATTATTATTATCACATAAATTATGTTGTTTTCTTTTGCTTTAGAAAATATTCCGAGGATATTTTTATAACAGAGTATTCTGATACCTTTTCTTTTTTTTTTTGCGTTATATAAAAAGTATTTTTAACCTCTGAATTATTCTTTTGAAAGGATCAGAAAATCATCATGAAGATATGACATAAAAATTAGCAATTATATAAATAAATACTTCAGTTTTACATAAGTAACGATGTAAAATATAATTAAACTATAGAAAGAAATTTTAAGTATATATTCTGTATAAGTTAGCAACTCAATGATTCTATTTAAATGTATTTTTTTCTTCAGGTTAATTATTGTAAAACAAATATAATTTCATAGAGAAAGAAAAAAATCAGTTTTCTTTTTAAATTTTATTTTATATTCAAATTTGTTTATAAAATTTTGGTCTTATTAGATAGATAAGAAAATGAATATAAAAATTTAAAATAAAAGAATTATCTATTAATTGAATTCATCTAAGAAAGATAAAGTTTTCTAAAAACTTTTTATTTTAAAATTCTGATTTTTAGCGTCCTCTTTTCTTTATTGCATATTATTAATTGGAAAAAACTTTCCATCAATCCGTAAAGTGTCATCGTTTACTCCTCCCTTCTTTCTTTTCTTTTTTTTTCTACTCTTTCCCGTATTTGTTCTTTTCGCTTTGTCTATATATATATATATATATATATATACACTCTTTCTCAACTTCTTCTCGTTCTATCTATCGAGTATTTTGGTTTTTTTTTCACTCTATAAGATCTTTCTTTCTTATTGTCGGCTGACAAATATGTCGAATCTATCGTATCTTTCTCTCAATCTTCTCTTCGTTGTTGTCGTCACCAAGTTGATGACTCATTTTCATCTCAATTGACACGTAATGCTACTTCGCAGTATTCTTTGAAACTTGATTCACAGAGTACTTCCGGTGTTCAACACATAGTCATTCATCATTATCAATATTATCATGCAAAGTGCTCCGCCTGATAATGCTGTTACCTATAAATTGGTTGTTGTTGGAGATGGTAAATTATTAAAATAAAAAAAATATATATTTGATTTTTATTTTCTAATAATTTATTTTATTAAAGGTGGTGTTGGAAAATCTGCTTTGACAATTCAAGTAAATTTAATGAAGAAATCTTTATTTAAAAATAAAAAAATGTATTTTAGTTCTTTCAAAAAATGTTTGTTGAAGATTATGATCCAACAATTGAAGATAGTTATATTCAACATGTCGAAGTTGATCGACAAGTTTGTGTATTGGATGGTAAACAAATAAATTAAACTATTTTCAATTTCATTTATTAAATTTTTTCTTTTGTAATTATTATTAGTTCTTGATACAGCTGGTCAAGAAGAATTTTCTGCTTTAAGAGAACAATATATGCGTAAAGGTGATGGTTTTCTTATTGTTTATTCTGTGATTGATCCTAATTCATGTAAAAATATTCGATTATTTTATAATCAAATACTTCGTGTTAAAGACAGGTCTTTATTATTAAAACATATAAAGATATTTTTTTTAAAAATTATAATCTAATTATATTTTTATTTATTCATATATATATATAGAAAATCTTATCCAATGATACTTGTAGCAAATAAAATTGATTTAGTTCATTTAAGAAAAATATCTGAAGAAGAAGGTCGTGAATTAGCCGATGAATTAAAAATTCCATATATTGAAACAAGTGCAAAAACTCCACCAAAAAATGTTGATGCTGCTTTTCATGAACTTGTTCGTGCGATAAGACAACAAATTCAATATCAAAATCCAATTAAAAAAAGACAAAAAAAACGTCGATATACAAATCATTGTTCTCTTATGTAACAAACAAAAAAATGTTATCAAAAATAAAAACAACATAATAATATTTTTCGTTTTTGATCTGTTTGTTCTTTTTTTTTTTTACAATCAATTGAATCTGTTAAGAAATAAAAATTTGTTTCTATCTCTTTCTCATATGTCTGTTGTTTATGTGTTCATTTTTTTCCTTAATGTGTTTTATGTATTAAATTTTAGTTCAAATGTTTTTTTTTTGTCAAAAATCTACATGTGTTTATTTAAGGAAACAAAATTTGACAAAAAAAAAATTTTTTTTCTTTGAGAAACTAATAAAATAAATTTGTGCAACGATGACCAAAAAGCCAAAGATAATAGAAAAAAAAAAGAAACAAATATATTCTTATCTTTTCTTGTTTTTATTCTTATATTGATGATAAAAAAACAAACCATGTATCAACTAATATGTGTTATATTGATTATCACTGCAACTATTTGTGTAAGTGACAGTTGATTGAACATAGAGAATTAATTTTTGTTTATATTTAGACTCAATGTCAATTACAACATTCATTTGGAATTGATTTTGATAGAAATACATTTATAAAAGATGGAAAACCATTTCGATATATTAGTGGTTCAATACATATGTATAGAATGCCAAGAGAATATTGGACAGATCGTCTTGAACGAATGTGGGCTGCTGGATTAAATGCTATTCAAACGTATGTTGAATATAAGTTTTTAATTAAAAAATTTTTTTCCTGTTTACAAAATAATTTCGTTTTTTTTTTTTTTACTTGATAAATGATTTGTTGTTTATTATATAGATATGTTTTTTGGGATCAACATGAATCTATTGAAGGTGTTTATAATTTTGAAGATAATAATGATCTTGTAGCATTTATACAATTAGCACAAAAGATTGGTTTTCTTGTTATTTTACGTGTTGGACCGTAGGTTAATTTTTATTAAATAATTTTTAATTGTTGATAATTAAAATTTTCATTCTTTTTTTCTATAGATATGGATGTGGTGAACATGAATTTGGTGGATTTCCTTGGTGGCTTTTACGTAATCTTGATAATATACAATTTCGACAAATAAATTCTAGTTAAATTTCTTCATTATAGAATTGCATCAAAGACATAAATCGTTTTTTTTTGTTTTTTAATTTTTATAGTCTATCTTAAAGCAGTTACTCGTTGGATGAGTGTTCTTCTACCGAAAATTCGACCTTTATTATACAATAATGGTGGACCAATTATTTCTGTTCAGGTTTTATTTATATTACTAATATAATTTGTTTTATTAGTATTTTATTTTAGGTAGAAAATGAATATGGTAGTTATCCAGCGTAAGTTATTATTTTCTTTATTTATAAATTATATTTTCATATTTTTATTAGATGTGATCATGATTATATGAATTATTTACGTGATATTTTTCGTCAATATTTAGGTGAAAATCTTGTTCTATTTACTGTTGGTATGTATAGTTACAAGATTCGTTTTAAATCTTATATTAGAAGTATGTTTCTTTTAGATGGTAATGGTTTAGACTATTTAAGATGTGGTACAATCAAAGGAGTATATACAACTATTGACTTTGGTCCTGGTGCTAATGTTAATGAATCATTTAGTTATCAACGTCAATATACTCCATATGGTCCATTGATAAATACAGAATTTTATCCTGGTTGGCTTGATCTATGGGGATATCCACATTCAAGGGTTTCAACAGATAGTATTATTCAAACACTTGATCAAATGTTATCTATTGGAGTTAATGTAAATTTTTATATGTTTTATGGTGGAACAAATTTTGGTTTTACTTCAGGTTAATTTAATTAAATGAAAGAAAAAAAAAACAAACTAGAATTGAACTATTCAATTTCTTTAATTAATTAGGTGCTGATCCTGATTATAATCCACAACCAACATCATATGATTATGATGCACCAATATCAGAACCAGGTTTATTTTATTTATTTATTTATTTATATTAAAAATTATTAATATATTTTTTTTTTGTGTTTTTTTTCTAAGGTGATATTACTTTAAAATATATGGCTATTCGAACTGTTATTGGTAATTATTTACCATTACCATCAACACCTGTACCAGGAAATAATACGAAAAAAGCATATGGAAATGTTCGATTATCATTTGTAAGTATTATTAAATAATTAAAAAAAAAAAAAACAAGAAATTAATTTTATCTTCTAGAAACAATCATTGTTGAGTTATATTAAAACTCATTCACCATATTGCACAACATCAATATATCCAAAACGATTTGAAGAACTTGGACAAGTATATATAAATCTATACAGTGGTTTGCAAAAAAACTTGGAACAATTAATCAACACAAAGATTTAATATTTCCTAGCTTTTTTGGAGGGCATCTTTTGCTGTTATTGTAGATTTATATTTAGTAGATTATCTACTTAACATATTCATTTACTTTATCGATTTGTGTTTTTTCGGTATTAGAGCAGCGTTCAATATGGTAAAGCCAAACAATACGAAAAAATAGCATATTTCTCTATTATTTTATTGAAGCAAGGGAATTCGTTCAGTCAGAAAAAACCATCAGGCTACAAACACACCTTTACCTACAATTACCTATCAGTTGGGACAGCTCAGATACCAAAGTTCTTTAAAGTATTGAACGGATAAATTATAGACAACCGTAAGATTGATACTGCATACAGTCGAGTACGAGATCAGTTCACTACGTGAAATTACAAAGTCGCGATCGATGAATCGGCTGAAAAGTCACAAAACTAATGTCTCTTAATTGTTTCATAATATGTCAATCATTTTCGGTTCCATTCGAATTCATGCTGATTGACGACCAGTCTAAAATATGAGAAATACTCGTCGTCGCTACTATTTCTCATAATTTAGACTGCTCACTCAACAACCCGGATATTGATCCCATTGAAAATGTTAGGAATGTGTGAAACATAGAGTCGGAAAAAGAAAATTAAAAAATACAAGTAAACTGAACACTTTTTACAAACTAAAAATGAACTCATATGAAAAAATAAGTTGTAATTAGTTTAGCAAATCGCATAAAAAAAAAGATGCAATTAAGTTTTTGAAGTAAAAGAAGAGAGAACACAATACTGAGCGGGATATTGTTAAACTATGAACTATTGTGTATGAAATAACGAAACATTTTTTTCAAGACGGCGCTAATATAAGCCAAATGTTTGTTCCAAGTTTTTTTGAAAACCACTGTATATATATATGTTTTATAATGTAAGAAGCAAAAATTTTCAGTATATAAATAGAATCAAGCATTTGTTGTCTATTCAACAATATTGAATAATCCAGAAGTTCATGGAAAAGTACTTGATTTAAGTGGAATACGTGATCGTGCTTATGTATTACTCGGTGAAGTAAATTAGTTTATTTCTTACTTTGTTTTTTTTTTCGTCTTCATTTTATTTCTTTCTATTAAATTAAATTTGTTTAAATTAATATAGAAATCAATTGGTATTGCTTATCGAGCTAATAGTTCATCATTAAAATTAACTATTCAAGCACCTGGAAATCGTGAAAAACATTTAAATATTATTGTAGAAAATATGGGTCGATTAAATTTTGGTGGTTTTCTTTTCGATACTAAAGTATATATTTGTAAATTTTTTGTTTATTCTTTAAATACTAATTTTTTTTATATTATTTTAATAGGGTTTTATTAATAATATTACATTAAATGGACAAATACTTGTTAATTGGACAATGTGTATATCTGGTTCATTATTTGATCAAGCTCCTATTAATTTTACTCTTAATAAATTTGAAGAGTATGTTAATTATTAGTTTAGTCTTTTTTTTTCTTCTATTTTTTTATTCAATTAGTTTTGATCCAAATGCACCAAATATTTATACTGGAAATTTTTCAATTACAGACAAAATTCCATCAGATACATTTCTATTACCAATAACTGTTTCTAATGGTTATTGGGAAAAAGGTGTAGCTTATGTAAATAAATATAATTTAGGTCGATATTGGCCAATATTAGGACCACAAGTAACATTATATATCCCAGGTCCATGGTTAAATCCATCTGGAATGAATTCACTTACAATGATTGAACTTCAATCATCACCATGTGGTACTGAACAAATGTGTTCAATTGAGCTTGTTGATTATCCTATTCTTGATAAGCCAACATTATTGTCCGCACCATTATTATATAAACGACAAGCTCGATATAATTGAAAAAACATGATTGTACTCTGGTTTTTTTTTATATTTATTTCAGAGTGGATTTGATTCATTTTTTCTTTTTGATGATTTTTTTTTTCTATGTGAAAGTTAATTATACGTTTTAGATAATCGATAGTTCGAGATTTATTAATCATTTCGTGATCGGCAATATATATATAGGTCATGAGTTTTATCATCATGTGAAACTAATGTAATCATATATAATGCATATTTTTTTTTATTATATACCATTTGCGTAAAAGCAAACGTCAAATAGCAGGAGCTTTCTACATTATCATTTTGTTATAATTCATGTTAGACTCCTAGGTTAAGAAATGAAAATGTACGTGATGTAAAGCCATTCGATATTATATATCTTGTCGATAATCAAAGAGATAATACATTTCTTTTTTTTTTTTGGATGATAAAAGGTCAATAAAAATGCATTTAAAGAATGATTATTTATCAAAACTTAGTCCTATTTTTAGATTATGAATTAGAAGAATTAATTATTGATTTGAATTTCTTATCATTTATAATATAGACAATCTAAGCTTATTGAAAAAAATTGAAATTCTCCAAAAATAGATACGAAGACATTTTGAAGATTATATCATCGAAAGTTTATCAAACTTGATATTCATTTATATTAAAAAAAGAAAGTATTTTTTTTTTCTTTATTTCAATCTATACTAAATATATAAAATAAAAATCTATATAATATATGTATTATTTAAATCAAAGCATGTTGCGTATCTTTCATATGTATAATAATATAATACAAAATAGAAATTCTTTATAGACAATAATAATATGTATGATATTTATTCTTGTTTTAATATCAACAAGTTGATGAATATTAATAACAAATGAAAAATTTCCAATAAAAACATATCTACATAACATTCTTAGTTTGATATTTAAATCTTCAATTCACTTAAAATATATTATAACCTTTTATTTATTATATTTATATTTGTTTCATCATGTTCAATATGTAAATTATTAACTTATTTGCAATTGATTGTTTCAAAACGATAAAAAACAAAACAAAAGAAATAAAAGTCAAGAATCATCTGTGCAAAACTATTCGTATAGATATGGTATATTTGCTATTCAATTATTGTATTTATCGTATCTTTCTCATTTTGTTTTATTTCATTTTTTTTATTACAATTTGTCGTTCTTCATTTTTATTTTCTGTATAGTGAAGAAAATCGAAAAAAAAGAAATCTAATATAAAAAAAAAAAGAAACATGTGTGTGTAGTTATAATGATAAGGTAAAACGAATTCAACAACATTATTTTAGAAGTACGTAATACAGTAATACAACTTTTCGTTTCAATCTAACTTTATTATATAATGTTAAAATCAAATACTCGTCATGGTAAATCTACAAAATTGATCATAAAAATTTTATTTTCATATCATTTAGTATCAACGAATATACCATCTGCTCGATCAATAACTCAAAATACATTATCAAATAGTAATAATAGGCCAGTATTAACAACATCTTCAAGTGCGGCTCGTGTTGAATCTATAGATTATACTGCATTAGATACATTCAGGTAACAAAAAAAAAAACTAACAATATGATGAGTGTGTGATATTAACAAGAAATTAATTCATAGGAGAGAAACTCTACGTAAAGAAGAAGAAGCACATCGAATATGGAAAGCAAAATTTGATCCATGGTTAATTGATGAATATCGAGAAGTATGTTTTCTTTTTCTTGTTTGTTTTTATAAGTCGTTAAATAATTGAAACCTTTCTTTTTTAAGATGAATGCAAATAGAATAAAAAATTGCAATGTACCTTCTAATAAGCGTGTTATTGTACTTAAACGTCCTGAATGGCAACAATCTGCAGATACATTGCCCCCATTATATAAACGTTTACCTGGTCAACGACGTCGACGTGTGCTAGGCTCATTTCCTGAAACAGAAAATGATGTGAGTATATTGAGATATTCTTAGTAACTGTTTGTTTTGTTTTTGTGAAACCATAAATTTGATTGATGTGTTACTTTATTGGTTTTTAATTTATGCAAACAACGCAAATCTTTTTTTTTTTGCATGAAAACATATACATATTTTTTTCTTTTTCTTGATGTTGTTTGATTTATCATCATTTTCTTTTTATATATTTATTTTCGTTTTGTATTTAATTAGAAAATTGGTTGGCGTCTTTTGCCAGAACATGCTATTGATAAATATGGTTCAAAAACAGCAAATATTCCTCCATTACCAAAACAATATAAATTTTCTAGTTGGCCGGTCGAAAGTTATTATTAACTAAATTTGACAAAGTTTCTCTCGTTTTTTTTTGTATTTTTTGTTTGCATATTAGTAAAAAAAAGAAAAACAAACCGACTATAATAATAACGTGATTGATTCACTGGTGGGAAGAAGAAATGCGTCAAGTGACCGTTGCCTATTGCATGTATAATGCTTTATCGTTATTTGAATAAAGCAAAGAAAAAAGAAAAAAGAAAGAAAGAGAACATTACCATAGAAAATGCTCTTCGTCATTTTCTTCTTTTGCTCGCTCACTCTTTCTCTGTTTTTTTTGACAACTACCAAGAAGTAACACTGCCGCCATTGCTGCTGCCGCTACTGCTCGTCGTCGATCATCGTCGCAAGAGAAAGAGTGCACAAGGCAGTGAAAAAAAAAACGCAGAACATGCATTTTTTATTGTGCAAAGCGTTAGTTGTGCGTTCGATCAAACTGCTTACTCTTGTCTTTCTAGATATTTGAGCCGAGTATGATAATATTATATGTTTCTATATTGTTTTATTTATCGAATATCAAATTAATCGATGTTCGCGTGACGGCTCAATGATTCATTACATTAGTTATTCGTTTTTCATATTGGTTCGATATGTCCTTGAAATGTTTTGAAAAGAGAACGAATAAGCCGCTTTTGCCCATATCTTGTCTCATATAATAGCTAATCCATGCTTTTTCGATATCTTCTTTCAATAATATGATAACAGTAATAATAATTTTTTTTTTTTCTAGAATTATTCTTAATAAATAAATAAATAAAAACATTTATTTTACATTAATTATGGGTCAAAAATCAGCTAAACAACATAAAAAAGATTTAACTCATTTATCCGAAGATGAAATTGATCGTTTAACAAAAAATACAACATATTCAAGACAACAAATTCACGATTGGCATCAAGGATTTCTTCGGTATAAATAAAAACAATATTTTTTTTTTCTTTTTTTGTTTGTTCCAATTCATTTTTCAAAATTTTTTATTTTGTTTTTTTTCTATATCATAGTGATTGTCCTAATGGTAAACTTGATAAAAAGAAATTCTTTGAAGTGTACAAGGTAAAATATTTCTTAATAATTGATATAACATTAATAAATGCTTTTAGAAATTTTATCCCGAAGGTAAAGCTGAAAAATTTTGTGCTCAAGTATTTAAAACATTTGGTAAATATATTTATTTTTATATTTCAATTATTCTATTCTTTATTATAATTAGATTCGGATGATAATGGTTATATTGATTTTGTTGAATTTCTTATTGCTGTGAATATTACATCTCATGGTTTGTATTTAAAATGCAAAATTTTCAATTAGATAATTTGTTTTTTATTTATAAAAAACAACAACAAAATTTAAGGTGATGTTCGAGAAAAACTTCGATTGGCTTTTGACATGTATGATATAAACAAAAATGGAAAGGTAAATAAGATAATTATTCTATTTTAAACGAAATATTCAAATAGACAAAAAAAAATGATTATTTTATATTTTGCTGAATTATTCGAACAATAATTGAATAGAAGAACTTATTTTGAAGATAGAAAATATTCTCAAGAGTTTCTATGAAACGACTAAGAAAATGATGTGCTTACTTTCTTCTTGAAAACATAATCAATCTTCTCAATGTAATGCGCACACGCTCACTTCATATGTATGTGATTCGATTTTGTATAAACAGTTTTCCGGTCGTTCTCATTATAAGCTATAGTACAAAAACAAATCTTTGCACACAGACAATACACATGCATTTATCGTCTTTTGAAATATCCAATAATAGTGAATCATTATTCTTCATTTCCACACTCTTAGAAATTATCTTAGTTCTCTGTACTATTTTTTCTTCTGTTTTGGTTGAAAACTATAACATTATAAGCATATAATTAAACTGCATGAGTGGGATCGCATTATCACATACCATGATTATACTATGCCGTTAGCGTTGATGCTCATACATAAACATTAGTAGTTAGTCAATCGAAATGCATAGATATACACATTGTGCATGTTCGATAGGTTTGTTTTTATTCTTTCTCTTTCCTTTATACATGTTACTAGCTTGATAATATCGTTAGCAATCTAAAGATAGTAAGTGAGAAAAAATTTGTGCTCAGCAAAGAGAAAAAAAAACGAATTAATGAGTTAATAAAACAGAATATAAAAAACTAATTCAACATTATTATGTGTATATTCATGGTGGCCATCGAGTAGTACATCATTCACTATTTAGCAATAGGTTTTTTTAGGTATACTATCTCTTTCTTACACCTGTCGTTTTCACTTTTCTCTCTCTTCGTTCTCTTTTCATCATAATACTCAGTTTTACCTTCATTAATATTATTTTTATTCTTTCACATGAAGCGTATCATTATATGAAAGCACGTTTATCATAGCGATAAGTATTTTTTTTTTATTTGAATAAAATTATTTTCAATATAAAAAAAAAAAAGAATGGGTCATCAAGAAAGTAAAACATGTTATACTAGCTTAGATGATGAAACTATTGAACGTCTTACAAAAAATACAAAATATACAGAAGAACAAATTCGTGAATGGCATGCATCATTTTTACGAGATTGTCCAAATGGAAAACTAACATCACAACAATTTGTAGATGTTTATAAAAAGTTTTATACAGAAGCTGAAGCTGAAAAATATAGTTATCAAGTATTTCGTACATTTGATATAGATCAAAGCGGTTTTATTGATTTTGTTGAATTTTTACTTGCTGTTAATATTAATGCTAATGGAGATATACGTGATAAATTACATCTTGCTTTCGATATTTATGATATAAATGGAGATGGAAAAGTAAGAATAATAATAATAAAAAGACCTTAGAGATATTAAATAACACAAGATAAAACATATGTTGTTATATAAAATATTGTTTTTCTTCATTATCGAATTTTTGTGATCTCGTTAGTTAAGAAAGAGAAATATGCAGGGTAGATATGCAATTCTATTATCAATCCTTGTAGTAGTATAATTTATGAAGTCGAGTAATCAATATCATATTATTTATCTTCATTTAGATTGACAAGAAAGAAATGACCAAAGTGATTACGGCTATTTATGATCTCTTAGGTTTGTTTTATGACCTTTTGTTATTTTTTTATTTCTTTTTTTTTTTATTTGCGTCTAGGTGAAGAACATCGTAAAGGAGATAATTCACCTGAAAATCGTGTGAAAATAATCATGGAAAAATTAGATATAAATGATGATAAATCTATCTCACGAGATGAATTTGTTGACGGTTGCCTTAAAGACGATATTCTTCGACAATTATTGGCACCTAATGTTTAAAAAAAGAAAAATAATCTTGAAAATGACATTATCTACATATACAAACGTATAGAAAAGAAAACTCTATGTATTTTTTTTTGGACTATCTTTATCTTAACTTTATATATCAACCGGATTTTATATAGAGTTTTTGTGTTTGATTGCTTGCTTTTTTTTTTCGTCCTGTCTATTTGTATATGTATGGTAATTTAGAGCTTGTTCCGCTTGATTTTCTTTAGGAAAACATTCTATATCGTTTAAATTTCTTTTTTTTCTGGTCTTTTTTTGTCGTCTTTCTTGCTTTTTTTAAATGTCTTCGTTTATCTTTCCTTGCTAAAATAACATATTTCTTCTTTATTCATTTTCAATCTTCAGGTTTACAATGTCTTCGAAAAAAAAAAAAAACAAAAAGAAAAATTTACGTGTCATATTGAATGTCTAGTAGACATCATTAGACAAGCTAAAAATAAAAATATATTATATTTGTGTGATATTACACTTGTCTATTGAAGATAATCAATAAGATAAAATTAATCTGTAGAGATGATTCCTAAAAATAGTAGAATAAGAAAATGAACTTAATGAAGATTTTGTAAAATTTTTCATATATGGATATTGACAAGTTGAAAATAAAATGTTTGATCAATTATGTATCTTATCATTGAAATGAAGATCGTCGAATATCTTTCGATCATTTTTTACGTTGATTCGTTCTAAATATTTATTCTTGAATATATACTGTAAGTATCATCTCAGAATTGTACTTACACTTTCCGCTATGTCATTGTCGATGAAAAACATACTAATTGTTTGATCTACATTAGTATAGTTCATAAATAATTACTTAATTTTCGATTCCGATAAAACTCGAGGTACTTTCGGTACTTTGTGTAAAAGAAAAGAAAATTTTCTAGTTGTTACGATTATTTACAATAAATAATGATAATTCATGTATTCGTTTAAAAAAATTATCTCAATTTTGTTTTTGATAATAGTTATCTAATTAATCAATACTGATTTTATTTATTTATAATCTAATTTAATATAATATTTTGTTAAATTTACTTAACAAATTTTTATATTCAATATTAATTGTATTGAATTATTTTCTTTCTATTTGTTTACTATGAACTCATGTTATTCTAGTCGAGTTCCTCTAATAACAAAATTCAATTAAATGGAATGAATAGTTTACTTAATAGATAGTGCCATAGGCATTAATAATAATATTATAGCTCTATGAACCACAAAAAAGAAAAACAAGGAAATCAATGCTGAGTATTCTTAAATATTCATTTTGTTCAATTTTATTCTCTATATAGTTATTCAAGAGAAGATTATTATCATTTATAGAACAAAACATATCTAATTTCATCATTGTACGTGACAAGAATTTTTCCTATTTTAAATATCATTTTATAATTGTGATCACAGTTATCAAGTATTATTCCTTGAAACGTGATGCATACAATTATTGATATTATACTCAAAACAAAAACAAAATTAAAAAATAAAAAACTTGTTGAATTTCATTCATTGTTAAATATTTCTTTTGCAAACATCAATTTTATCGAAAAAATAACGAAATAAAGATTTCTACATTTTTTTCGACTTTTAATTAATTGACAAATCTTCATTAAAACCTTAAGAAAAATTGAATTATAATGATATTAATTCGATTATGTAATATTTTAATTGAATAAGAAAAAGAATATTACAATTAGAAACAAAAAAAAAAAAAACAAACTTGTTTTATACTTCGCGTAAAACCATATGTATTCATGTCAAAGTGTATATCATATTGTCATCTGTATTAGAATAATCTTATGACAATGCTATTGATTGTCTTTCTCATTGAGTGTTAATCCATATAGAGTCAACGACATTTTCAAAGGATAAAGTATTATACCATGATACAAAGAAAATTTGATCTTGCTTGTTTATCAATATAATCATATCACAATAGATGCTACATGATAGCAAACAAAGAAAAAATTGAACACTACGAAATAAATGTAGCATCATTTTATATTGTGTTTTTTTAGAAAGTATCAACTAAAACAAAAATTCTATTTCGTAAAAAATAAAGCACGTCAATAATGCTAAGAATGATTTCTTTTGAATTTATACTATTGCATTACTTTTTCTTGTGAGAAATAAACAAAAACATTCATACAGCATCATTCGAGGGAGAAGTCGAAACATTCAAAGTTCAGAATAATAAATTGAATTAAAGAAATAAAAGAAAACTACATGAAGTTTTTTTTTGTTAATTAGAAAAGTCTACAATTTCTTTTGGATTGAATTCTAAAGCGATACTTTTTTAAACAGTATTTTTTTATAAGTTTTATATTTATGAATAGAAGCTTAAAACATTCAGAAAAAAGTCGATTTCTTGCTATGATGATCTTTCATGATAATATTTTATCTAATTAATATTTGTGTCATGTAAATTAATTCCCTTGATAATTTGATTTAATTGCTCGATTGAAAGAAAACAATACTGATTAAACAAAAAAAAAAAGGAAAAAATTGTTTCTCATAAGATTATAAAGGACTCATGATATGAATTAACTAATTTATACATAGGATTAAAAGATTATTAAGTAACAAGAACTTTTGTGACAAAGGTTTTACTATATAAATTTTAACTTCATTTACTGACTTTAACTAGTTTTAGAATTTTTAAAATTCATTTTGATTTAAACCTTCTTTTATAAAATTATCAATTTTCTTCAGAATTATCAAAGTTAACACAAATACATGGAAAGATAACTCAAAGTTTGATCTGTTATAAACGACATGAGTTTTGTTATTTGGCATTTCGATTTTTCGAAAATTTCTATCATTTTCTATTTGAAAAATATGTTATTTTTTTTTTTTGTTTTAGATAAATCAGAAAATCTTCGCCTTTCTCTATTTATATTTTGTTGATCGTGCACTTCAGCATTCTTGAAGGAGTTTCATTGTATTCCATAACTTTATTTTGTTTGAAAGAGCATACCCAAGATCCTTTTCTGCATTAAGCTTTATTAATATTATATAAAAGAGTACTTTTATAATTAGAGTGTCATTTTTGAGAGACTTTCGAGGCATTGAACTTTTTATCCTTTAAAGAATAAGAATTAAAAACAAGAACTTTGTCATGCCATGCATCCTGACATCCTCTCATAAACAAAAAATACAATCAAGCCTATAGGATAAAGGCCAACAGAGAACTTTCAGTTATCATATGACCTATTTTTGAGTCTCGTTTGTTGAATATCCTCTGAAAATGTCATGATACAGAGTTGACTATTTTATCATAGCTTCTACACTACAGTCTCAACATATTCTAAAAATTTTATACAATTTGAATATACCTAGGTGAAGATCAGTTTTTGAGAATTGAAGGATTTAAAGGAATTCCTCCGACAAAAAAACAAATACTTTTTATTTCTAAGCATTCGATCTTCATAAAACTTTCATTGAAGATGTATCTCGAATCCCGCACCTCACGATGAAACGTACAGTTAGCTACATTGTACTAGCGATGCTCTGATGAAACTCATGATGCTTGTAAAAATGAACGACTGAAGGAACTCTTACATAATGTTATTCGTCCGACAGTTTCACAAAGAAGATTGATACGATGAAGTTGAATTCGTCAAATTTTGATATCATTGTTAGAAAATATCAACAATAAGAAGATCTTGTTCTTTTTTTTCGGATGAAATTTCTTTCCTTTTAAATAGCTTATTGATAAATCTAAGTGAAAACTTATTCGTATAAGTTATTCAAAATAAGAACTGATAATGGAAATAAACTTTTCATCGCATATTTTTTTTAAAGATATCGAAAAAAATGGATTAATGCTTTTAAGTTGATGATAATCCTTAGAAATATATATTGAAAAACTGAATTATATGAAATGAAACTTAAACAAATATACTATCATATTATTGAAAATAGTAATTAAATCATTTGAACTGCTGAAGAATTATTCACGTAAAATTTCGAAGTGGATTTTGTGGAAACACCACTCACAATTGTCCAAGAATATCGTGAGTATAAGTCTTACGTTGAAGTTTTGTGGCTTCCTATTCCCATTATCGACTTTGGCAATTTGAGTTGAAGATCGTTGAATAAGTTTTTACAGAGAAACTCTCGATGTAAATCAATTATTTTAATGCTGCTGTCATTATTATTAATTGAAGATTTACCTAGCGAACAACACTGAATGAAATTTCTAGATATAGGGGAGAAGCAAGCAAAGGAAAGAGTGTGGAGTCAAGGTACTAGTATGTGCACTACGAATAAGGAGTTTCATGTTTAATGTACAAGAATCTATTTGAGCTCCATATTACAGCTTTAATTGAGGCTGTGCTAAAACAGGTTTTTTGGAAAACAGTATAGTTTAGTTTTACATATTATATTGTATTCTATGATCTTTATATACTGATATATCTGTATATAAAAATAATCAATAGTCTAACATTAGCTTTGTTTGTTTTTTATGCTGTATAACCAGATATTAACATTTGTTCATTCGTGGTTTATTTAATCCTCTTTTCATGATAAGGCCTAAAGGGACATTATGTTGATTACAAGTAGCTTATGAAGAATGAAAGCAATCAAAACACATAAAGCAATGAATAAAGATAACATGAGTCATGACAGACGATTTTTGTAACGACAAACTACTTTGGTATACAAGAAGAATGCATAGATCATTGATAAACGAGTTGTTTGAGATGTGTATAGCCAAACGAAATTATATAAACATAGCGCTGTGGAAGAAAGCTGGAACATGCTCTTGATTCTCGAGAGATTTAAACGTTACTATTCCGTTATTACCTCTCAGGTATTAGTATTTAAATGTGTAACGATAGCGTAGAGTTTTATTATGCATTATCTTCTTAAATATTCGTTTGGATGTTTAGAGAAAAATTTCGACGAAATTTCATAGGAAAGAAAATGATAAGATTTTTATAACCTTAACAGAATCTACAAATTCATATATTCAATCGTCTAATTTCGAAAAAAGTAATTTGAATTTAAAATAATTCATTTACATAAGAATGAATTCCAAATCAATATCATTCTTTTTTTTTATATATTCAACGACAATCGAACACGTTAAATTATCATATAAAAGATAAAATAAATTAATGATGAATCACGAAAAAAATAAACAGGTGAAATATAAAAAGATGAAAACGAAAAACATTTCAAGAATGTAAATAATCTAAGATTAACAAGAATTTTTTTAGTTAAATGAACAATATATCATTACATTTTCTGTTGCTCATGTATAATTATCTATTGAAATCTATACAAATTAAATAATTAATTCAAAAAGCAAAATAAAACCAACATATATATTATGATTATGTGCTTGAGTTATCATTAAATTTTTATTTATCTTATATATATACACTCAACTTTATTTGTCGAGTCTTCTTACGTAAAAGTTTATTGACGAGATTGTATCTCTTCACTATTCAACATCATCTTTATTTTTTTTTATCTATTTGCTTCTCTTGTTTCATTTTTTTTTTGCTTTCTACATTTACTTTATATTTTACGTGTACACACTAAATAAAAGAAAATGAAAACGATAATGACAACAGAAAAGTTGCAAAACAAATAAATACAACGACATCAAAAAAGAAAAACAAAAAGGTTTGCATTTTATCAAATACTCTTCAAAACAAAAATAAGTCATTATTATCAATAAAAAAACAAAAAAAAAACTAATGGCTTCAAGTAATATATCAGAAACAAATACAGAAAGAAATTGGTTTAATCGATTATTTTCGTCCGTAAAAGTAACAACGCCACGATCTTCGATGTCACCAATACATCGTTTAACTTCAATAACAAATCCTAGTTTTGAATCATTTGGTGATATATTAAGACTAAGACGACCACCAGAACATCATCTAAGACAACAACAACCAACTAGTATTGATGACTCATTAGTTGATATTGCAGTTAATGCTAGAACGGATACTTCATCTTTAGCCGATAAATCAAAAGGAACAATTGATTTTTTTCATACACCATCTGTGAGATAAATATTTATTGAATAGAATCAATCATTGTATAAACGTATATAAATCAATTTCTTTTTATATAGAGTTCTATGGCTGCATCCCCAGGAACTCATTATGCTGATTGGTCAACAATAGATTGGTTAAGTGATCAAGCACGAGATCGTTTAAGACATGAAATTATAACTAAACAACGAAATGAATCTTTATGGAAACGTTTTGTTGCTTTTCATGATGCTTTTTCTGGATGGTTTGTTATTGACATTGATAATTATTTCTTATTATATTATCATTTAAAATCTCTAGGCTTTGTGTACTTCTAATTGCTATTAATATTGGTATTATTGCAGCTATGGTTGATATTGGGGCCGTATGGTTAACAAATATAAAAATTGGCGTTTGTCTACCAGCTTTTTATCTATCACAAGAACATTGTTGTGTATGTATATTCTATTGAAATTCTTTTTTTTTATACAATTTAATACATATTATTTAGTGGACAGCACCAAACCAAACTTATGATGACTATCAACATGTTCATTGTGCAAATTGGCATGAATGGTCAAATCTTTTTCATGTTAATGGCAATGGTGCAGCAAAATATGCTGTAAATTATATTGCATATGTATTTTTCGGTAGATATAAATTAGTTTGTTTTGTTCGTTTTCTTAAGCCAAAAATATTGATTTTTAGGTTGTATTTTTGCAACAGTATGTGCTATACTTGTTAAAACATTTGCTCCATATGCATGTGGTAGTGGTGTACCAGAAGTAAAAACTATACTATCTGGTTTTATTATTCGTGGATATTTTGGTGCATGGACATTATTAATTAAAAGTATTGGTATGGTATTAGCTACAAGTGCGAATTTATTACTTGGAAAAGAGGTATTTATCAAAATTTTAATCGATTTATTTCATGAAATATAGATATAATTATAATGATCAAATGAATAAATCTCGTTTATCTGTTACATGAAGAATAATTTTGTTTTGTTTTTTTTTTAATAAACGAAAATTAACTTTATTTTTAGGGTCCATTTGTTCATTGCAGTTCTTGTTGTGGTAATATTTTTGCTCGACTTTTTCCAAAATATGGTCAAAATGAAGCAAAAAAACGAGAAATTCTTTCTGCTGCTGCAGCTGCTGGTGTTTCCGTAGCATTTGGTGCACCAATTGGTTAGTTCTATTTTTCAATTAAAAAAGAAAAATAAAACATTTTTTTTCATCAATTATCTATTACGCTTTTTTTAGGTGGAGTTTTATTTAGTTTAGAAGAAGTATCCTATTATTTTCCATTAAAAACTCTATGGCGTTCATTTTTTTGTGCTATGGTTGCTTCTTTAATGGTTAAAGTTTTATCACCATTTGAAAATCAACATCTTGGTTTATTTTATGTTGGAAATAAATATCGTTGGTTTTATTTTGAAATGGTACCATTTATTTTACTTGGTATTCTTGGTGGTTTATTTGGTGCTTTATTTATTAAATCAAATATTGCTTGGTGTAGAATAAGAAAAACAACACGTTTAGGACGTTATCCAGTTATTGAAGTAATTATTATTGCTTTACTTACATTAATAATTTCATATCCAAATCCATATACACGTATGCCAATGTCAACATTAATACGTCGTCTTATTACATCATGTGAACCAGATGATGAAAGTTTATTATGTGATTATCAACGAAATAGTACATCAGCTTATGAAAAAAATGAAGATGCAAAACCATTGAGGTAATTTATGTGTATATTAAATAAATATACTACATGTCGATTAATTTATTACTCTGGAGAACTTATCCTATTGAGTTGGTATTGATTTAGTCATGAGAATAACTTTTGTTAATGTTATTTATTATAGTTAAATTTAGATGAAGTTATTTCACAATGTTTAGTTTCATAATAATTTCAGATACAAACTAGATTTTGAAACATTATTTATTCTTCTTAATCAAAAGGAAAGAATGGCCTATTAACCGATCGTCTACTGCGAGCACTTTTTGTTGACATTTTAAGCTTCTTCCATCCATAAAAAAACTATCGATAATCCTACGATGTAGATACGGGATTAGTTAAAAAAAAATCATCTATTCTTCTCGATGATGATGTATGGATGATAATATAGTTAGACACTTGCAAAGACAACTATATTTAGATTGTAAATCATCTCTTTTATTTCTAGGATCGTGTCGAAATCGTTAGTTCTGATTTTGATTCGAGATCACATATTACTATTGGGAAAGCTCTCATCCAGAAACAAGGCTATAATAGAAAGCTGTACTTTTCTATGTTTTATTGATAAAAGATTATTTCAACACAATCACGAAATGTTCTTTTCTTTTGACTGGCTATTAGTTCTAATGACGCTTTTAGCATGACGATCATTTTATTTTATGAATGTAGATTGACAAGAAAATAACTCTAACAAAATCATTTTTCATGTTATTCATCATGAATGGATCAAAAATGACACCAGCTGTTATGAAAAATGTTACTTTCATATTTATTATCAAGAAATCTTCAAAAACTATTCTGTAAACAGACTATGCTTGTATCAATCTCACAAATATTAGTATATTTCGTTTGTGTAACTAAATAAATAATATATCTATTTCCAATTTATACATATTAACCAAATAAGGATGAAAAGAGGATTCATTTTTTTGTCGAACTAATGAAAGATTTTATACAACATTTGATAAACTAACTCAATTCGATGTTTTATTATTTTGAATAGATAGTTTTTATAAATATATTGAAAATAATCCAACAGGGATTGAATAAAAAAAAAAGAATATTATCTTAAATATATGTTATTTTTCATGATATTAGATTTGAATACAAATTCAATACATTAAATATATATTTTATTTATTATCTTTAAATTTATTTAGAGGTGTTTGGATGTCTGTCGGTTTACTTAGTTCAGCATTAGTTACACAAACAATTTTATTTATTTTTACATTTGGTATTAAAGTTCCTTGGTTAGTATTCTATTATTTTAATAATTCAAAATTTTTATTTATTTATTTTTCTTTCTATAAAGTGGTCTATTTATTCCTTCAATGACACTTGGTGCAATAACAGGTCGAATTGTTGGTATTCTATTTGAAGCATTGGTCTATTATTGGCCAGATTTTTTCTTATTTTCTATTGAATGTAGTACAGCAGATGAACAATGTGTTGCATCTGGTTTTTATGCTGTTGTTGGTGCATGTGCTTTTCTTGGTGGTGTTACACGAATGACTGTATCACTTGTTGTTATTATGGTTGAATTAACAGGTGGTCTATCATATTCTGTTCCATTAATGTGTACAGCATTAATAGCAAAACTTGTTGGTGATGCTTTAGTTGGTGAAGGTATATATGATGCACATATTAAATTAAATAATTATCCATATCTTGATGTTAAAGCTGAATTTATTGATCAAACAACAGCTAGTGATGTACTTGAATGTAAAATTCAAAAACATGATTTAATTATGTTACCACGTGATGGTTTAACATTAAATGAATTAATAACAATTATACGTACACATAAATATAATGGTTATCCTGTTGTTGCTAGTCGAGATGAACCATCAATTATTGGTTTTGTTTTACGTCGTGATCTTGAATTAATTATTCAACAACGAATGTTAACAAATAATGAAACAAATATGAATACATTAATATCATTTTCACGTACAATACAACAACAATCAAATTTTATACATCTTTATCGTTTATTAAATCGTTCACCAACAACAATAACATTAGATACACCAACAACAACAGTTATTGATTTATGTAGAAAACTTGGTGCACAAACAATATTAATAACAAATGATAAAGGATTTTTAGTTGGTCTTTTAACCAAAAAAGATATTATAGCTTATGTTAAACAAAAAAAACTTAAATAAAAAAAAAAAAAACTTATGATTGATTATGTCAAAAAAATAAAAAAATAAAACATTTGGGAAATAAGTTATGAAAGACTACGCGAACAATCCTCATGAGATTAAAATATAAAACATTATGTTTTTGTTGTTGCTAATCATAGACAGATTGTTTTGTTCCATCTCAAAGATGTGCCAGAGAATATTGTCGCCTTTTTTTGACAGGTTGTTTTTTTTTTTGTTGTTGTTTAAGTTAGACTCGATCAGAAAGTTGTATTTTGATGTTAACAGATAGAGAATTTTTGCGTAGATTTTATTAACATGTTTGTTTTTTAAATGAGCATTTGTTCTTTTGTTGTAGTGTCAAAAGTACTGAATACCACTTGCTCAACATTTTACTGAAATAACTTGTCACGTTTCTTTTTTTGTTTTGATTAGATAATTTTACATACGCTATTAAAATTCAATATAAAAATGTACAGATAAGTATCTGCTTTTTTTATTAGACATAATGCCAAATTTTCTTATAAATATCATCATTTTAACAACCAATTGCAAAAACGATGTTTAGTTCTTCATTTTTGACATCTTTTTTCTGTTAAGAAGAAAAATCATAGATTCATCTCTAGGTGAGAAAAGAATTTGAACCGTTATAATGAAAAGTATTTTGTAGAGCTTGAATATTGATATAAATAACTAAGAATATTTTTTCAAAAATTCGACTTTTTAAGAGAATTGCCAACGAAATGTACGATTCTGTTGACTAATGATGTTTTTTTTTTAATATTTTGCGCTTTCTTTTAAGCAGAGACAATTAATCATATGAAAGGCAACACACGAGTAAATACCCCGAAAAATTTTACAACTCGTACTACTAAAAAAAGAAGTTTTTGAATTAAAATTAACTGATCAAAAATCTCAGTTCAAAAATGTCTCATTTTGCACTTGATTAAATGCTCAATTTGAAAGGAATATATCAATAAACTCTACGCAAAATTCTCTATCTTTAAACATCAGAACAAAATTCTCCGAGCCAGCTTAACTTGAAAGAGGAGCCTATTAAAAGTCGGCAAATTCTCTTGCTGTACCCATTATGTTGAAACACATTTCTTTTTAATCATCCTTTTACTTAATCTTCAAGAAATGCAATAAGGAAATAGTTCATATATTATAACAAGACGTTATTCATAAATGATTTGTGATCCTGTATACCATCAACGTTTGTTATGCAGAGAAGAGCAAGTATTGCTAAGTTATCTATGAGAGAGAGTTCAACACTCTTTTTTAAATCATGTTTCACAAAAAAAATTAACAAGAGTGTTTGTGATAGAGAGAGAGAGAGAGAGAATTGATTTCTTACTTTTCCTTTTCTTTTGTTAATACTAAAAAAAAGAATTAGTTTTTCGGTGATGTATATATATATATATAAATAGCATTATTTCCTTTACATAGTAATAAACGGAAATTGAAAATTACTCATAGAGACTATGTCTGATGCATATATATATAATACAAGAATATTCACTGATCCTTGAATGACTGATGATACTCTTTTTTTTTTTTTATAATAAAACAACAATAAGTATCAAGTTGTTGCTTTTCTTCTTCTTTTTTGTTTTTTTTTTTTGTTCATATATGAATTCGTTGATCATTTTTCATGAGTGATTATAAGTAACAATGACATGTTAGAGAAAGCGATTTTTTGTTTTATGAATGAGACAACATCATGAGAAGGAGAGTAAAAGCATACAAGAGAAGCTAAAGGCATGCTGTTGAAAGCTAATTACTTGCTCTGTATGGTGGCTACTAAAATTTTTTTCTATATCTCTCTCTCTCTCGTTGGGTTGTAAGATTATATATATAATGGAATATATATATATATATAATGGAATATAAAAACAAAAAAAAAATAAGAGACGATAGATAAGAAAAAAAAGAGTAGTTCAGACGAGAGCATCTTCACATATTCATCTCTTGAAAGCAATAAAAGAAAACGAACTTACTGTTTGATTATCTCATAGGATTTTGTGCTTGTGCATATGTAGTGTTTTATTTTATCTTGTTTAGATACTTTTACTACAAACAATTGCTCGTTATTATAACTGCAACGAATGATGCATTCATTTCGTCAACAATTAATAATATATTTCTCTATTTGGTTTCTTTTCATTTGCATTGTTCATAGTTCTCGTCAAGTAAAATATAATTGTTATTATAATTATCGATTAATATATTATTTAAATTCTTTTAGAATGCTGAAGAACATTATGTCAATGAAAAAACGAATTCTCATGATCAAATATTAACTGCTCCTGATCGTCAAACATTAAAAGAAATGTTAAGTCGTCGAAGTTTTTATGATCCTGCATTTGGTGATTCTTGGTCAAGATATTTAGAAAAAAAACGTAATTTATTCGATCCAGCTTATGGCGATTGGGCCAATAGCTTTAAACGATCGCATGACTAAGAAAAACTAAAAAAAAAGAAGCAACCTTTTTTTTCCTGTTCCTTCTCATTTTATTCATGAACCTTAATGACGAAAAACAAAAAAAAAGAACGAAAAACTATTAATAAAATAAAAATAATTTTTGATTGATCATGAAAATGTTATTAAACATAACAATTTTTATTTCTCTAATCTAAAAATGAGATGATTCTTCTTTTTTTTTTTTTTCTTTTACATGCGTACATATTTTTATATGATTCTGCTTGTACAATAAAAAATGCGGATCAAGAAACAAATAAAACAGAAAATAGAATTAATTTCCATGTTTGCACCCATTATTATACAGCAAATATCACAAAAAAATACATATATATATATATATATATATAAGAACAATGTCCAAACATAGAAGAATACACTGTTCTTTAAAGAAAAAAAAACATACACACACAACAAAAAAAAACGAAGTCGAACTGTGAGTACGCAGAAACAAAAGAAAAAAAAAACCATATGAATATATCATCTGCTACGCAGAACTATGAATACGAGAACAAAAAAAAGAAACGAAATAACAGTAAAATTATATACAGTTTTGAAATGAAACAACGAATCGCCGTATTTCTAATCGATCAAGAAACGCGAATGAGAGAGAGCAGCAGCAGGAGTAATTAGTCGACACAAAGAAGAAAAAGAAAAAGAAATAGAACTAATGAAAGACACCCACATACATACATATCGTATGAAAAAAAAACATAAGAACAAAGAAAAACACAAAATTTATCTTTAGTCTATTTTTCAGGATTTTCAATTGTCAAGAATATGCGATGGTTTAAGAAATAAAAACATCGATCGTTGAAAACCTATGAAAAATAAATTATTTCAAATTTAATTAATGAAAAAAAAAATTTTGTTTTTTTTTAAAACCTTTATGCATATGATTTGGTGTTGCTATTGTAGTGCATGTTTCGAAACCGACTTCAGCCGATAGCAGATAAGATACAAATTCTGTTGGTTTGAATTCTATACGATTATATGTTTCCGTTATATCCTTCTACAAAAACCAAAATCAATAATAATTTTTTCTAGCGAAAATATTTTCACTATTGAATGAAAGCCAAGTATTAGACAAGGAATCAAAGAATATTTTTCTTACCGTCATTCGACGCTTAAGTCGATAACTTGACCATGGTTGTGGTTCAAGAATCAATCTTCCACCTGGGTATAATGTTCGATAAATTCGTTTAAAAAATCGTTTAAGACCTTGATCACCAAAATTTAAATGTATCCATTTTGTTACACTAAATGCAATAATTGTATCATATTCTGCTCTTATATTAGCCAAATCTTCATCGTTATCAAGCACAAAATTTTCCTAAAATAATATTAAAAATATAATTTTTTTTTTTGACATTAAATTAAATTACAAAAAATAACAAAAAACAAAAGATTATCGACGAATGCTTTCTGCTCGTAAGTAACTTTTTTCTTCTCCAATTCATTCTTTCTTTCTCTTTTTTTTTTTTTTGTTTTTAATCTTGGAAAAATTTTAGCATTAAATATATCTTATCACCTGTTCAATGCTGTATCATCACCATAGTAGATGAAGTAGAAAAATAACTGAGATGTATGTCGACCAGATTCGTGGCTGCTCACTCGCTCGCTCCGGCTCAGCTCGATCAGCAGAAAGCATTCGTCGCTTGGACTCAATCCAAAGTTCATTTAATAACCCTGAAATATATATATATATATGAATTTTTTTATAATAATTTAGAAAGTAAAAAAAAAAAAAGGTTTCAATTCACACCTGCTGAAAGCGCAGGTTAAATGGATAGCGCTTATTGTGATTATTATCATTATTTGTATTTAAATTATTATTATTAGCTGTTTGTATACGATTCCATAATTGATGTCGAGCTTGTTGAATAAGTTGTTGATCAATATCAATACCAACAATTTGATCAGGTTGAAAATGTTCAGCAACATAGAATGTCACATGACCTGTATGACATCCTAAAAAAAAAAGAAAACACGATCATAATGAATTAAGAAATATTTTTAAATAGAAGAAAAAATAATTAATTTTTTTTTATTCATCAGTTTAATTTAAAAATCAGCATATTTATCTCAGTCGAAAGATGGTGTATTTATATATTCATCATTTGAATATTACTTTTTTTTTTATTATTTTATTTTCTATAAAAACTTACCAACATCTAATACTTGTTTATTATGAAACCAATTATGTTCAAGATATTGTAAACGTTGATCATGATTTGGTTGTCGATAACCATAATAACCTTGAAAATTTCCATATCGTGGTGGTTGACTATGTCTTCGTTTTTTATCATAGCGTTTTTTATGTATTGGATATATCATTGAATTATTAATATTTTGTTCATTTATACTATTTGATGGAATAGAATCAAGATTATTAAAATCTTCATCATTACGTGATGATGTATCAAGACGAAGTGGATCAAAAATATCAGGTTGAAGTAAAATTTCAACTGGTCGATCATTATCATTATTAGTATTATTATTATTATTATTTGTATGATCATTGTTGATTATTGATGAT